GTGCGTCATAAAAAGGCTGCGCCGAAGACGCGAAGATCCGAAGATCTTCGGACATAGACAAATTCTAACTAATCCTGTCATAACTTCTATAAATCTACTCTTTCCAGCTTATATAACTATCTTCTACACCCATATGTTTATGTTTTTGTTAATTTTTAAAGAAAAACAAAAAAGTAGGCCCCACAGTCCTCTACGGGCTTCCTCCAACTCTGCACAGCGCCCGGATTCCTTCTCTAGATTATGCTGCAGTACTTTGCACTGATTTTCCTTCTCCCGAAGCTAGGCTTCTTGCTCTCGCACCAATGCAGTTGCGGACTCCCACTCCCTCTTTATTGCACCTGCTCTCTTGAGCTTCGTCCTATTCCTAATCATTGGTACATAGAATCCTGGCTCCTCCGTTACAGCATACTTCACTCTCTTCCCGTCCAAGTACTTCAACAATGGAACTACACTATGCTGCAAGAATTCAGGAAATGTAATTTCTAATGTCTTCACATCTTCGCCCGAAGTCTTCTTCCCTTCTTCGGGTCTCAACTCTTCCACCAGAGATGTCGGTAGTCTAATGCCCTCGGCCTCTACCACCGTCCCTCCTACCCGTGCGACAACCTGTTCCAGAATCTCCTCGCTCCTTCTCCATGTCCTTGTTCATCTTCATATGTGGTGTCCCTTCACCCTGCGCAGACCGTGTTAGCTCCGAAGACAGAGAAATCAAACTTACCAATTCCGTTCCCTCCTTCAAAGGTTCTGTCAGTATGTCTGTCGGAACTTCGATTGACACCTCCAAAGGTACTCCTATCTCCACAGGTCGCATTACCTCGCTAGTTGCGACTTCGGATGTGTTTACAATTGGTGCCACCGTCTTCTCCACACTGCTGTCCTACACCTCAACTGTCACCATCCTCCGTTTCGTCCTCTTCTTTGATCTTGCGCGAGCTCTGTGCTGTCTGGCTCCACTTACATCCATATCCATCCTTCTTACCTCGTGGGTCAATTCCTCCTCATCATCCCTGACGACCTTCCTTCTCTTTGTCAATCGTCTCTCTGGCTACTCCTGCCTTTGAACCACGTCCACCTGCACTGGTCCTCGAGCGGTTGTGTGTGTTGGGATTGAGGGGGGTCAGTTCTCGTCTTCAGTCCCTTCACTGGACTCAGCCGTCAGGATTTCCCGCTCTTTCGGAAATCGTTTCTCCTCCTCTCTCGTAAGCAATCCCATCCCTCAATAGAAATTCACTAGAAAAAGAGTGATGTGATTGGTCAAAGGTCCCGTACACCGGGAGCCTGCATTCACCTAGAGAAGATCGTGAAAGATCCTTGCCCAATATACGCGTTGTCCCTTCAAAATGCGTTCGAAGAATCCTACTTGCCAGGCCGTCACATAAGTCGTGCGCGTCGGCCGTAAGATGTGCATGATCCCCAACGCGATCGCCCTTCTCTTCGGATCTCTGTAATCGACAGTCTTCCATCCATTTAGTCCCTGTCTTCCAGACTCGAAGAGAGGCCGGTAAGAGAATTCCTCGCCGTGCGTAAGTCCTACGCTATTCTTCTCAAATAGCAAATCTCCTTCGCTGCCCGCACAGGGTCCCAGTACCGTCGTTCAATGTTCGATAGTCCACAGCATGGGATTACCGCGGAGCTCCTCGCCTTCGACCGTGCTCTTGTCCATAACTTTCTTGCAGATACTCGCTGAGACGCAATTCAAATTCCACAAAAAGAATTCAAGCCGCAGTTCTCTCAACTAGTGTCTGAAGGGTTTCAATTCCTCGTAAGGCACCTTCAAGGGAACCAATTTCCTCACCTTCTCACTCTTCTTGGACGCCATGTCTTCAATTTGCGTTTCGCTAATCGCAGGTTGGCTCGATTGCAATTCCTCTCACTCGCTCGTTCTTGCTTGATATCGCAATGTCGGCGCGAAGTCTCCTCGTACTGCCTTTAACTTCGAAGCCCTAACATTGCATTCTCCCGCGCCTCGTAGATCTCCCGACGCGTGCGAGCATCGTCCGGCCCGTTGCATGATTTGAAATTGATTCCGATGTCTTCGCCGAAGACGCAACTCTTCATACGTCCATGAAAGACTGCGCCGAAGACACGAAGATCCGAAGATCTTAAGACGTAGACGAATTCTAACTAATCCTACTATAACTTCCTATAAATCTACTCTTTCCAACTCATACACCTATCTTCTACACAACTATGTTTATGTTTTGTTAATTTTTTAAAAGAAAACAAAAAAGTTGGCCCCACATAATTTGTGACAGTAATTGAATATCTGATGTTGTTTATGTCCTCGTGAGATTGGATCTTTACCATTATGCTTCATTCTGGTTTTTATCAGTTATTATAGAGGGGAAGTCAAGGTAGCGTACGTGATGTGGTCCCACATACCCTGCCTTGATTACTCCTCCCGCCGCGAGCAGAAGGAGAAATCAAAGGTTGAAAATTCAGCAATAAAGAATCAAATTCAAATTTTTTTTGAAAATTATAGTTAGATAGTCACTTTTAGATAGTATCATGTCATTATTGTCAATAGTGACAGTATTGTTCTTTTGAATAGGTTTACAACTTAAAACCTAATGATTCTTGAGTTCTATGTCATTACTCAGAGGATGTCACTAAGAAGAAGATTGTGACACTAATCAAAGGTTTAACTCTGTATACTGGCTGAAAAGAATTGCAATATCATCATGATCTATTTTTTAGGTGATAGTAAAACCTGTAATTCGATATTTGATCAAAATTTTGTGATTTTTATGCACAATCATATCACATTTTACATTTCTTTCACTAAATATTAAATAATAAACTATAGTTTTATAGCAAAAAAGTACATCACAGTCAATTTTCTTACCTTTCAATATCCTTAAGCACATGTCATACATAATCACATAATAAAGTTTTGTGAAATTTCAAATAATATCTAAGCTTCAAATAAATATCATCAATTATTACTATCTAGATTAATTTGATGTTTTGTATGGATATCATAAAGTTTTGAACTTCAAAAAATACCACATATGAAGTCAAAATTAATTGTTTGATACTTTTGATGCGTTATAGTTTCAAAATTGTGTGGTCAATTAAAAGCATGGAGAACAACCTCATAAGCTAAATAAAAATAATTAAAAAATCAAATGGACATGATTGGCAAATACATAGATTTGTATCAATCTAGATAATTAAATAAAAAATGTTTTAACATATTTGATTAGTCTATATTGCTAAAGTATGTTGATATGGAAAGTTAGAGTAAGATAGAAAGATGATGAAGTAATGCTAATAACTCATTTAAAACCATTTCTTAACATAAGTTTCATATCTGAGTGGATTGAGGTGTGATAATAAGACAAGAATGTACCAAATAGTTTATCATATACAAGTACATTCTAGAGTAGATGTGATTTCTATTTTTGAAGTAGCTTGATTTGAGATGATTCAAATGTCAATACTCTTGTAAACTTATAATCAAAATAGGGCTACGATCGGGTCGGGTTTGACCTTCAACCCAACCCAAAAAACCGGAACGGGTTCGGATCAGGTTTGGGTCGAATCTGGAAACTGAAAGCACCTCAAGAATCGGTTGAAAATTCAATCAATTCTTCGTCGATTCTTCCTTTAGGCTGCTTGAGATGTTTTTGTGCGTTATCTTCACACCTAAAGAGACCGATGATTGGCCCTAACAAAATGTGCTCATGACTGGCTGCTCACTCATGGACACGCTGCCTTAAACGCTGCTTTCAAAGTCGACACATTTGACAAAAGTAGATATTTCAAGTACTGCCCGCGGCCTCTGCTGGGATGCCGATCAGACAGATCCTCTGCCTGATCTGTCTTTGATGCGCATTTGTATAGCTAATTTTGGAATGGCGATAAGGTAGAGACGGATTTTTTTGTCTAATATTATTCAATCAAAATGTAGTTGATGCTCATCCTTCTCATGCTCATGAATGTTCGTCACAAATTTAATGAAGATATAACGACTTTGCACTCAATAACGGCTTAGTGACACTAAGCCGTGTATCAGACTTCGATCGTAAACTTCCAAAGCATTTCGCTTTCAAGAGAAGAACACGAGGAGTGGTATTGCTTCAGTCTGCTCTATCCAGCCAACGAATTAAAACTGCTATCTCACATTGAGCCTTGTGGTAGAAGCGCTCTGAGCGGCAGGCAGGTCAGCCACCGATTGACTGATGGACTGCGCTCGTTTGAGAATTTGAAGCTTGTCAGGCGCAGCTCGATCAGTCGATGGAGACACAGCCAGAACCCTCAATCGGTGCGTGCGTGCATGACTATCAGTAGCAAGCGACAACGGCGCAATAGCCCGCGACCTCGCTCGGAGCTGTGAATTCGATTCGAGGTTGATTTGAAAGCGTAGGATTCCGATGGTGTTGTGGAGCTCGGCCAACATCGGCTAATCAATTTGCGTGCATTACCACACTTTACCCTCTAGGTTTCGATTGGGTACAGCCCTCTACCAGAACCCGATCAGACCCGAACTCGGGTTTTCTCCCGAACCCGATCGGAGCCCTAAATCGAAAAGTGCTTATCTGTAATACTTGAAAATTCATTTTTTATAGATGAAAGAATGGAATGTTATTGGATAAACTAGGGTGCAAAATGTCATGCACGACATAATTGTTGGATAATGTAGGAATGAAAGCAGATGCTCTGCATAATATATACTTGTATGAGATGTAAACTAAATATAGTCAAATGTCCTTATGAAGTTCTAGTAACTGATTGAAGATTTCTTACAACATTTAATAAATATGAGCTTGAAAGTTTCCAAAAGATACATGGGGAAAAATATACTCTTAGGTTAAAAAACACTCTCAGATAACTGAGGTCGTGTAAGTGATGTAGGAAATCTTGAAGAAAGTTACGATGGGTTGAACTCGAACGTAGCTCATATGGTGACCGGATGGGACTCGGGTTAGCCCCATGGAAACCGGCCTAATCGGTAGAGGTACCGGAATCCACCAGCAGCCAGAGGATACGAGGATTTCAGCGCAGTGACAATTCTGCTCGATCAATGGACATTTAATCGGAGACCCAATGAAGAAAGTTCGTCGTAGCCAAAAGCACACGAAATTTGTGCTGTGCATTGAACATCACCGGGCCGGCTTGCACCAGATTATCGCTAAAGCCCCAGCTACCAGCGTAGCTGAATAATGTCGATGGCCATCCAGGCCTGCTCTTCTGGGCTCCAATTATGCAGATTCCCTCTCGGGCAAGAGTTGGCCCGTGGAAATGAGTGGAAGGGAGCCAACTTCCCGACTCAAGTGCTGCGAATGAGACGTGCAGCTGCGGGCGTTGAATTCCTACGGTTTTCTTCATGTGCTGGTTTTGATGTTTCCCAGGTACATGAAGCCCATATGCTACTACTGTCCTAAGTTTGTCTATACAGTCCTTTATATATTGATGATTAAGCACAGGCCTGTCGAAGACGATCAAGCCCAGAAGCAGAAAATGAATGTAGTACCAGTGACGGTGCGTAGAGATATTGAACTGAAATCCGGGATGTCCCTCGCCTCAAAATTTCCTCAATCAGTATTCGACCCGAACGGGTCGAAGCTCCTTCTCTGATCTCTGAAATCAGCCAATCAGTAGGAGATGTCGGGGCCTACTTTATTTTTTAAGGTATGGTCTGAAGTATATTCGTACACCATGTTAGAAATGGGTTTCCACTCGGTCCGATTCCCTCCTCCTCGCGGATACACAGTCGAGAATTGTTGTGAATTTATAATATTTTCAATTCTCGAGCGACCACCATCGATACTTCTCTCGAATGGTTCAGTTCTCTTTGGCTGGTTCATTTACACGAGAGCTCAGTAGGATAGAAACAGTGTGGAGGATTCTGCATAAGAAGATCCCAAATAATAACTATACCAAGCGCAACACAAGCTTGAGAAAGCTCTACGGATATGACCGGTTATCTCCGACGAACGAAGCTCTCAGAGCATTGCACACTTCGCATTGAGCTCTTCAGTCATAGTCAAAATACTTGACACTCACAATACTATTTGGAGTGCGGCTCCTCCTTCGCTCTAAACAACCTTCATGAACCTCACTTTAAACGGCAGAGTAATGCGCTATTTGCTGATCCGTTGAGAAGTGTAAAAGTTAGTGAAAGTTTTTGAACTCGATGCTTTAGCAATCCGGTGGATTGCTCCTGAGGCCATTTCGGAATGATTCCTTAGGACCTGAATGTGACCTTGGAATGTTGTCCTCAGTTGATGGTCGTGGGAACTGCAGAGCTTTCCAGGAAACGAGGGATTGGGGATCGTCATAACAGGAGGCACCAGCGGTCTCGGATTCGCCCTAGCCCGAAAATTTTTGGAGTCGAAGGACAGAGTGGTGATTTGCGGACGAGATGAGATGCGGCTGAATAGGGCAATCCATGCGTTGCAAGTGGACATCCAGGGAGCAAACATTGAAGGAGTGGTCTGCGATGTGTCAAGGCCCTCAGACGTGGGAAGGTTGGCTTCATTCGCCTCGGAAAAATTGGGAATCATTGATCGCTGGCTCAACAATGCCGGTACTCGGTCACATCAGCCTTGCACTGAAATTTTAGTTTGCCCCGCCGGATTGAATCGAAGAGCATTTCTGCAACTCCTTATATTATTTGTGTTCAGAGAGGATGAAAGTCTTGGCCAGACGTTTAGAAGTACCCTAAATCTCAAGCTGTAAGTTTTCCCTTCACCAGTAGAGTCCCTTTGTCGAGTTCAACAGTCCGTCTGTCCAACATTGATCATGACTTCTCGATGTAACCGAGAGGCTCGTCGTCATTCTGCAGGAGAGGTGACGTCCAAGAAACTGCTGGCGGATGTGGAGGCCGACGAGATCATTCGCGTCAGTGGAACAAACGTGATAGGATCTTTGTTGTGCTGTAGAGAAGCCATTCGAATAATGCGAGATCAACCAGCAAGCGTCGTCCCGAGCTATCACATCTTCAATATGGGATTTTCACAATGGGGAGCCAAATTCACTAAATCTGCATGCACTCACAAAGCAACGAAGATTGCTCTCACCCAGCTGACAGAATCATTATCCGAGGAGCTGAAGGCTTCAGGTGAACACACAATGTTGACGAATGGACTGCTGTTAATACAATGTCTTGCTTTTGCTTGTACGTTTTAGTACTTCTCAACATGTTTTCATTGTTCTCCATGCTCTTGGAAACTAGTAAGGTTCTTTTCCAGTCACTGGGAGTAAGATCTCGCTATTCTTCAAACAGGAACACAACGACACATGTTCAGCATTGACGAGCTTTACCGAAACTCGTTCTTGTTGATGTTTGGAACAGGCATCTCCAGCATCGGCGTGCACAATTTATCTCCGGGGTTGGTTCTTACGGACTTACTGCTCAAAGATTCGACCCCGGTAGCACGCCGCTTCTTCAACACGCTTGCAGAGGAGCCCGACACTGCTGCCACCATTTTAGCTCCTCAAATACGTTCTGTGCAAGGCTCCAAACAGAGCCTCGAAGTTCTGTCTCCTCTATCTGCCGTTTTGAAGGTTGTCACAGGCTTTCCGCAGATCATCTCCGGGGGTCGCTTCTTTGACAAAGAAGGTAATCGAGTTGCGGTCACAGGTAAGAGATACAAAGACAACGGTGTAGAGGTTCTGTTTTGAATGGTCCATTACGTGTCTGATGAAGGAGAAGCTCACAGATTAGACTGACAGCTTTGCTTCATTACGATAAAGATTCACCCATGGAGCTGCCCGGTACAATCTTCTGAACAAATGTTGGACCGATTGGAGATGAATTGACATGATGGTCATCGTCGATGAGCAAATGATTGTCAGAAACATGCTTGAACGAAAAGCTGGGGAATCTAAACTCCTTTGATACTCTAGGACAATTCTGGCAGAATTTACCAGATGATGGGTCCTCGGCATTAATACGAACTTCTCCGAGTTTGATCGGTTGCAACTTCAGTTATAAGAAGTGTCCACATAAGGATTCTTTACAGCACTGACATTTTCACTCGTGCAGTATTCTTGTCTATAGTCCAGTTGCCGGATGTAAACGGAAGAAATTCCCTTGTAGTGGAATGATTTCCAGAAGCTGACGATCCATAGTTCTGTTAATCTTGCATCGTGTGACAGTAGTCACTGATTCTGTAGTATAAGCTTCGTGATTACAAGATATCCTCTAAGCATGCTCAGTGAGATTGCATGCAGATGTAAACGATTCCTGAGGACTTTCACTTTGACCTTTCAAACGTGTTTACACAATGGAACGATAAGTTGTATTCCGTTTAGTTCTTGTGAGGTTCTGTCGGGTTTCTCGAGCACTTTCAGGCCCTGTAGTCCAACTGGCTTTTTGATTATATTGAAGAACGTATATCCTTCAGATTGCTCTACTGATGCCAGAGAAACTCCCAAATGGTGCATATGGTTCTTTACTCCACCCCGCGAGTGAACGAATCTCCATGCAACGCCGTTTCCTTGACAAATCAACTTCGAAAAAGAGTCAAAAACCTTTGTTGCCGCGATATGAGAAATCCCAAGAGGAAAACAATACATGAAGGAATGGTCGGATATAACACTTAATTGGCAGATTGGTGGATAGTCATGAATTAATGAGTTGAGTTACTTGAGTCCACCTGGAAGTTCTTGAAGCTTTATGCGTCAACTGTCGTAGACGCATCGAGAGTTTCTTCAACTTTTTGTGGAGGAATTGGCTCCTCAAGTCTTCGAAGACAAAAAAACTAAATCTCTGAAATAGACCTTCACTATATCCGTTTCGAAAATAGTTGAAGAAAGTACAGCATCATTACATTCAATGTCTTTTTAGTTTTAATGTTTTTCTTTAAGTCTTCAATTGACTTGATCATAGTGTGGTTTAGTTTGTTGGGGTTACGTAAGATCACAATCCAATATGTTACCAACGCGACAACCGTCGGATGGAACTGTCCAAAAGTACCGTGACGAAACCAAAGAGTGAACATCCGGCCAGGTTCTAATGGTATCACTACAAGATGCTATTATTACCAGATGTAGGTAATGTACAAACAAGAGTAGCATAACAAGGATTATGGAATATGTATGATAAAATGTCATGTCGCTCTCAAGTATGGCATAGAATCCATAAACTGGTATGACAGTATCCATACGATAGATAATTTCTACACAACTAAGATATGTAAACCATCAAAACTAATATTTTTCAAGAAATAATATAAACTCAAAGCATCAAAACAACAAGCACAAACACCATAACATCTTTGATTACTTTTTAATGCATAACTCAAATTAGCGTTTTGTGAAGAGCAATAAAAACATGTAGCTTAACGGAGAAATCCTAGATTTATGAATACAGAAGCAGATAAGAAGATCATACGAAATCTAACTAAACTAACAGAATACTAGTCTCTAGGCCTCATATTATCATGATGAAATATATTGTCATGATATTAAGATAGATGAAACTTATGTATATAACAAGTATATATATACAAACTTAAAATTCATTTTCATTTCAAACGTTGAATAAAAACATTGTAACTGTCAATGAAACGAAAGACTGACTACAAACTTAGAAAACTAATAATCTTCAACAATCTTGATCTTGAAATTCAAAAACTTGAATAAATGATAGATATGTAAGGTTAACCCACGTCTTGTTAACCATACTTATTAAATTTATCATTAATGAACTTGCATATTTATTGTATATATAGTTGAATGTAAATTTAAACAGAAGTTATAAAATCAATTTTTTTTGAAAACAGTAATTTTTTTAAAATTTCAACATTTGATTAATTTTTTTATAAAGTTTGTGTGTGTATATATATTTATATTTATAAGTTGAAGCTTCATACATGTCATAATTTTGATATGAGTATGTTTTTGTGATATATATTTTTTAGACATAAACAATATTTATACTAGATATGTTTTTTAAAACCAATATATTGAAATTATAAGTTAAAATTAAAAAAAAATAAATTAAATGGGAAAACAATTAGATCTTTTTTAAAATATTCAAAATAATGATGTGCCTACAAAGTTTTTCAAAATCAAAGATTTGATAATATTTTCCAAAAATTGAAGTTGTTTAATAAGATCCAGTTTTGTAAAAAAAATTTATTTGTAGCAATAAGATATGTTCATATTTTACTACATCACTTTTATCACATATACACAATCTCATATTTCTATCACAATTGCAACAGTAAAACACAAGAATTATCCGTAACACACTTAACAAATGAAGCCATCAACACGAGAGACTTGCGTATAATGTGGTTCACCTTCAAGGGCTATGTACACCGGGAGAATAGCATAATGATAGTATACTATGCGTAATGTTTTGATAATACACAGACCCTGGATATTTAAATACCCAACACCGAAGATCAATCTAGCTAAATTTAACGGAAGTTAATCTCAACAATCTTCCTCTTAATTTGTGTTAAGGAATCTCAGTTTACTCTCTAACCTATATTATTACTCCGCGGAAAATTCTAGACACGAACCTAACACAAGATACCTCTTTAAACGAGATTTAACTAGAACTAAGCCGTAGCCATAACATGATAGAGTAATAATATAAAAAGTTAATCCAACAATGTTCCCTTAACTCGTATTAGGAAATCTCAGTCACCTCTCTTATTTATATTATTATTTCCATAACAGGATAGAGTTATATCATATAGAGATAACTCTACAGTCTCCTCCTTAACTCGTGTTAACAAATCTCGGTTAACTCTCATATATATATTATTATTCTCATAACCAGATAGAGTAATAACATACAGAAGTAACTCTACAATCTCCCCTTAAGGAATCTCAGTCATCTCTCTTACCTATACAGTAGAACCTCCAATAGCGAATACCCTTGGAACTGCACAGTAGGTATTCAGTATCAGAGGTTATTACCTAGCCGAGGTAATGCTTGGAAAGTTGTCCGCGGCCATGGCAACGCTTTGAGTGGCACATGGGCCTTAAAATTTGCGATGCTAGGACGTTTACTCGGTAGTGCGCGGACCCACTCGTAGAATCAACCACATCTCTGCCACGGCATCTTCTCCGTCGGAACATTTTCTCTAACGCAACATCTGCTCCATCTAGCATCTTCTCTACCGCTCGTGCTTCACATGTCCTCTAAGCATCATGTCTCCGAAGAAGCCTACCTACACTATGATGATGAACCGATAGAGGATCGCTCTTGTCAGACAGAAATAGAATGAGCCGCGTATGACGCACGCAGAACTCATTTCTTGGGTAGAGAAGCACCTTGACATGAAAGTAAGTCAATCGATCATCTCAAAGACACTCGCAAGATCGGCAGAGCTCCTTGCCAAGGGAGACAACCCTACGGATGCGAAGCAATAGAAAGTTGTAAAGTATATGCTGATGGAAGAGGCACTTTACGTGTGGTTCATTGCTTATCAGGCTCAAGTGAACATGAGCGATGAGCTGTTGAAAGCTCAAGAAGCCAAATTCCTCAATGAATTGTATCTAGAAGCGGAGGGGTTTGAATTTTTCAATGGATGGCTCGAAAAGTTAAAGGCTCGCTACAGAATCAAGTACTTTCGCCGATTCAGAGAAATTGGCTCTGTTGACATGAGTGTTGTCGACCAGGCTCTTCCTTGACTTTGTGAACTACTTGACTCACTTTCATGGAGAGACATCTACAACATGGATGAAAGTGGAATTTTCTTCCGCATGCTTGTAAGTCCAGTCGGAAACCAGGACTTATCGTTTGCCTTTAACTTCAGAAAAGGCTGACATTTGTTCTTGCTTCTGCAGGCGGACAACTCATTGGCACCAAAGCAATTGGAGGGCCGTAAGGCACAAAAGGAGCGGATCGCAATCTGCTCCAATGGCGACGGCAGTGACAAGTTGCCACTCTGGATCATCGGAAAATTTTGGGATCCGCGGTGCTTCAGGAACTTGAACGGGGAGAATCTCGGATGCAGATACCGTTGGAACTTGAAGGCATGGATGACCCAAGTCATTTTTCTCGAGTGGATCAAGTGGTTCGACCTCCGGATGGCGGAGAGGAAAGTTCTGCTCATCCTTGACAACTGTAGTGCTCATATTCGTGTCAACAATCTTCTTGAGCTGCGTAACACAACCGTCAGGTATCTTTCATCAAACACAACGTCAAAAATCCAGCCTTGAGATGCAGGTATAATTTGGAACTTAAAAGCTTATTATCACCGTCGGTTCAATGAGAAAATTCTTATGAGTCTAGATTCAAACATTTCGTATCCAGAAAAAATTGACATTCTTGAAGGCTACCAAATGGCCGTTGCAGCATGGACTTTGGATGTCAAGCCGGAAACAATTTCCAACTGCTTTCATCACTGTCAAATCTGTTCGAAGTACACTAGGCTGCCCCGCGTAACGAAAGACATGGTAGAGCCAGCAGCTGAAGTCATCAGTGAACTAGAGAGCCAGATTCGTCGGTTTTGCTATGAAAATCCTATGAACATTCGAAACCTACTGAACTACCCTGATGAAGAAGTTGTGACATACAAGCCGAGTGACGAGGATATCATTGCAATTCTGAAGGAGCCGGCTGTCGAGATTCCTGGCCATGAGGAAGAGGACGACAATGAAGAGCTTCCCAAAATTTGCCTCGATGATGCCATTTTTATGCTCGAGAATCTTCAACATTTTTGGCTTCAGCAAGAGGGAGTCCATACAGAAAATCTTTTGTCAATAAGAAGCATGATGGACGATGCTTGCAGAATTTGAACTGAGAAGTTGCAGCAAACCACATTAGATAGGTTTTTTGTCAAGAAATAGGCCACATGTGATAGATGTTTGCTGTCATATTTACTAAGAAAACAGTCAAGACTGTCCCAATTTTATTCACTATTAGAGAATGGGGGTTCTTCCCTAAGCTCCATATGCCTGAGTTTGGGACCAAAATATTTTCATTCAGTACTGGAGGTTATTCGGTACTGGAGTATTCGGTAGCGGAAGTTCTACTGTATTTTTATTCCCATAACATAATAGAGTAATAATATACAGAGGTAACTCAACAATCTTCCCTTCACTCGTGTTAAGTAATCTACATGTGAGAGCACATGTAGACGAGCCCAAGGAAGGAAGGAAAAAATGCAGGTCGGATCAGCCTTGGCATTTGAGATTTCCGGCTTACTGCCTGCGAGTGGAGACTCGCTGGAGCCTAACCTTCCCGGTCGAGTCAAAGGTTGCACTATCTACGGCTATCTCCCGTTGTTCTCAGTCACCTCCCTAACCTTTATTATTATTCCCATAACATGATAGAG